GTTAGACCTGCCTCCGCCAAAAACTAATCAGCCACGTCTCCTTATCAATACGAATCGAATGTTTTTTTCATCCGTGTTCCCGAAATCCTCAACGAAATTTGTATCCGCACATACACACATACACATACACATACATCCATTTTTTCTAAGGTATGCCAAAATGTTCAGAAGGTTTTGAAACGTAAAGATCTATAAAAAATTCATTTTCATTTTTTTTGCCATTACTATAACTTGCCCTTCGCCAAGTTAACAATGGTTTATTTACTAGATAAATTATTATGGTGATTCCTGATGTCTCGATTTCTTTCAAGTTTTCGAAGGCAACGTACTTGGGTAAATGTACTGATATTAATAAGAGTCACAAAATCACAGAACCGTGTTATTGAAAAGTCTTACGTTTCCTGTTTCACCATACAAATACAGTAATTATCCAAGAAAAATAAATATAACAGCATCAATAATATAAATGTTGAAGATCTAAAGAATAGATGCATTACTATCAATAATTGAGATAAAATATCGAACTTGTGGTTCCTATTAGTAATGATGTTGCAATGGTAATTTTGTGGTTAACACGAAGTTATGGATATCAGAATTTCCTAACGATCTGTTAAAAGTTTATTTATAGTGAATAACTATCAATTTATATGAGATGCGTTTAATTAATACAATATAATTTACATCGTGGTTTTAAATGGATTTTATCGCTATTCTTGCATGTTTATGATACTAGAAATCGTCGGGTTGTTGCCACTTTATTAGGTTATAGCTGTTATTAACATATTATAGACGTTTATGAAAGTAATATTTCATGAAAAGGAAACCTTAACTAAAAAAGGAGCATAGTAATATATAATCAGTATGTAAATTGGCGGTGGATATTCGAAAAACATCGTTAAGTTGTCAGGACATAAGATGGTAGAAAGCCTATGTTATTGAGGATATAAATTATATTAGTGGTTAGAGCAATGGGCTTCGAATTGCTAGTATTTCTGCCAGCACCATATATATTTGTTCTTCATATTTTATAAACTATGATACAAATTCCACTTGGATCTAGTAGTTAAAGGTCTGAATGCTTATATGTAGTAGACTAAATCTCTAATATCTATTTCCCGATCAATTTTCACTTTATAGATCAATAAAAAATCATCAGTATTACAGAATTTGTAGTAATTTAATGATTTTTAAACAATTATTCAAAGATATCTATCCACGGTGATTTGATTCATCACTTAAAGGTAGGACAACTCTTTAGGTTTTACCAGCCATCGTTTATCAGTTTCTAGGATTTTACATATTTTATACGCATAAAGGAATTGTAGGAATAAAACGGATTTAATCAAATTTGTTTTATACATAACTGTATTTACAATGTATGTATATTAAATTGCAGTTTATACTTTATGGTGCATGTGTCCGGCGTGTAAATGTATGTGCTTTTACCGCGTTCTATTAATTTAATCTTGTTTTATAGCTGGAAATACAAGCTATAATAAATCATTAATTTAAGGAAACCGTTAATTAGCCAGCTCTTTACGCGTCTCTGATCTTGTTCCTTCATCAATTAAAGTTTTATCCCTTGGTGGCAGCGGGAAAACTATATAAAAAAT